TTTTGCCATCTGATGTAAGGATTACGGCAGGTTTATGGTGTATTGGGAAATACTTTAGAATGTGTCAGATTTTGCTCAAAGTTTGCCCATGGGGTTATTCGACATCCTGATCACAAAAATGATACTCTTTCGCATAAAAAGGCCTCCTTTGTAAGGTTAAGGAATGATTTCATCTTAGAGACAAATGAATGTGATATTCATGTCCACCGTATATGATTATCTAACGTTTCGCATTTTAGTCATTGACAAACAGCCTCCCAGATTTGACGCATTTGACTTGTTGAACTTCTCAAAGGCGCCTTATCTTGAATTGTCTTTGAATTTCAATTCTTTCTCATTAATTCTAATGTGTCAAATATATTCAGGTTTTGTACGGCTTCATGTTTGCCAAAAAACAGGGAAAACTCGATTTTCAGCATTTTCTGAAGAATGTTCAAGTTTTCCTTACTATATTATCAAAAATCACACGGTTTGCGCATACTTGCAGCCCACATCACAGTCTACATGATGGCAGAGAATGAGATCACTAGATAAAATAAGAAAAAAGTTCTGGGAAAAGTTGCAAAACTTATGCAACTTAATAATTCATGAAAATTCAATGTTAATTCTATATAACCCTCACTTACACACGTCTGCCTTTGAAAGTCTTACACAAATTTTTTTGTTCGAAAGTATTGAAATATTAGATCGAACTAGAAAGCCTTGATTTTTTTGCTGGAAGCTCCAGAGATTTCCAAATTTGTCTTAAAGTTTTTTTGTTGAGATTTCAAGACTTCCGAAGGTTTTCAATAAATCGTCCAAACTTTCTCTGTTTCTTAGCAAAGAAGCTACAGAATGGAACATTTGCGGGAATGCTCAATTTATATTAAAAAAATTGCAATCATTTCTCATTACAGAAAAGAAAGGAGCTCAAAGTCGGCTTCAGTCGCGCGGATACGACCAAGATGACATCCGGTAAGTGGAAACAGGACATTTTCCCACAGGACCATCTTCTCCTTGAAGCGCATCTTATCCCTTGTGAATGAAGTGGTTATCTTTGCCTTTATCTTCTTCTTCCATTCCCTTCCATCAGTATCTCATTGCGTTTCAATTTCTAATATCTGTCTTTTTTCCCAATCTTATTCTGTCATGCATATATATAAATTGATATTGATTATTATTTCATATAATGCTTCTATAATTTCATGTATATTCATTTAAAAATACTTCGTTTTCTTTATCGTGCAGTTATCACAGCCCATTGTGATTTCATATGGTCCCTGCATAAAACAATACATTGAGCCATTTGCTTTTTCGATAAAACTATTTCGCTGTCTAGGTCTCTTAGCATCTCGAAAGTTCAGAAAAACTTTCCCATCAGAAAAATGATGGCTTAGTAACAAGCGAAAACTAGTATTTCAAAATGAAGCTTCATTTGTGTAGTAGAACGCGTTGAGTCGTTGACGATTTATTAGAAAAACACAAGAGTTCCCCCTCTGCCTATCGGCGTGCATGCCGACGGTTCACTAGGGATAACTAGAGAACAACACAACAAATATATCAAGGTGCGGCGGGTACGCCGCAGCCACAGAGACCATATCGACTTAGCCTATAGTGAGTGAGCAAGTTCCAATATAAGGGACGGCTCTACAACACCTCCCTCCTAAGATGAACAACGGTACGTCTTATAACAAGGATCTACATGTAGACGTGGTGAGCGACGATGGCGACTTGGTATGGTTGGTGTCGGTGGCGTAAACGAGGTGGCTTGGTGTTCAGCAGCATCGATAACATTGTTACGTCGGCCTTCGTCGAGAATGGACGGTGTTAAGTCATGATTGCGATTCATACTTGCTGCGCGGCGCATCTGGTTCGCATGTCGTCTCCATAACTGAGCGTCTTCCGTAAGCACGCCATATAGCGCTTCTCCATATCGCTTCTTCACTCGTGCTGGAATCCATTTTTCACATCCAGAGCGAAAATCACGTACCCACACGGCTTCTTGTGGCTGGTACGAATTCCTTCGTGCTCCGTGACGGCGGTTGAACTGCTTCTCCATAGATTTATCGCTCATTCCTTCCTCTTTGGAGTCTTCATTCAGCAGCGACAGTGGTATCCTTATGTGACGTCCCAAAAGCAGCTCGGCAGGCGAACGTTGTCCTGGAGCAGTTGTACAAGGCGTCCGTCGATAAGACTGCAGGAACTCAACGAGCTTCTCTGCCGTTCCTCCCTCCTTAATTTGCTGGAAGGTTTTCTTGAAGATAGCCACAAACCTCTCTTGTCCATTTGATTGTGGATGGAATGGAGGTGAACGTATATGTTTGATTCCTTGCTCTTCACAAAAATCTTGCAACTCCTTTGCTGTGAACTGCGTCCCATTATCCGACACGATCACTTGCGGATTTCCAAATCAAGCGAATAGAGATCTGAGTTCTCTCAGAGTAGCTGTAGTTGACGATGAAGGCATCTCAAATACTTCTGGCCATTTCGAGTAAGCGTCAACTACGACGAGATACATCTTGCCATTCAGCGGCCCTGCATAGTCAATGTGAAATCGATTCCATGGTTTGTCTTCCACTTTCCATGAAGGCAGCAACGTCTTCACTGGCATTTTGAAAGCTTTTTGACAACCCCTACAGCGGCGCACTGAGTCTTCAATTTCTCTGTTGATGCCCATCCAGTATGCGAATCCTCTCGCAAGCATCTTCATCCTTGTCATTCCAGGGTGTCCCTCGTGTAACTGCTTCAGAACCGCTTGTCTCAGCGAGGCTGGGATGACTATTCTGTGGGCGAAATACAAACATCCGTTCTGCACTGATAAATTCTCCCTCAGTGCTCTCCAATTTTGGACTTCTTCTTTCGGCTTGGACGGCCACAATCCCGATTGCAGCATTCGTATAACGTGCGCAATGTTTTCATCTTTCCTGGATTCTTCTTCTATCTTTCTTCGGGTTACCGGTAACGCTCGTACAGCAGCAGCTTGAACGGCGTGCACATCTTCTTCTTCGCTAGTCACCTTTCTGCAGTTGTACTTGGTCAACCTCTTGTAGGCTGGCAACTGGATGCACCATTCCAATCCCAGGAGATTTAAGCTTTCCGTGACGTAGCAAGTTTCATGTCCATAGACGGTTTTCCCTGTGATTCGATCCTTGACCTTGAAATCGGTCGAAAATTTACCATATATCTTCATCGATGTCCCGCCTGCAGTTTTCACGGGCATCACACAGGGTTCCAAAGCCGGGGATCCCATCCTCTTCCAGGCTCTGCGTGATATCAGCGTTATATCTGCACTGTGTCCAGCTGAAGTTATTACATCCTCTAACTACGACGTCGAGGTAGATCCGCGCGCTCTCGGCGTCGAAAGCGACCACATGTTTGCACTGTCTTCTGCGGCCAAACTGCGCTCCTGTCTTGCGCCGCTTCTTCCGACCAGTGTTGTCGGATTGTGGACAGTCTCTTCTAAAATGTGGTCCTCCGCACGTAAAACAAGTTACCTCCTTTTTCTTCCACACTGCATGGATGTCGCGCGTGCCTTCCATGTCCGTGTTATCCATTTTAAGCAGTGAAATTCTTACATTCCGCGACTAGGTCCTCGATTGTCAACGGTGCTTCGTCCCTGTGAGCGTCTAGTCGACGAATCATCCGAAGGCGAATTTCCCTAAGTGAGGGATCTTGAAGACCTGCTACGAACTGCAGCGTCTTCATTGCCGTGTAGTCGACCTCCTTAAGCCGGGCATCCTCGTCCATCCGCTTGATAGTGTTAGCGTACTCGCGAAACGGTACGTACGCTGATGTAAGCGGAGGGCAGGTTATCCTTAGGCACTCATACCGTCTCCTGATGAGCGTCTTCTTGGAGGCGAACAGCTTCTGGAGATTTGCGACGGTGGTGTCGAAGTCCAGGTCGTTTGTTTTCGCAGGCAGAACCTCATCTGCATACTTCCGGTACGCTTCTCCATCCAGCTTCATAAGGATCAAATCGCGCTTCTTGTGATCCGGCAGCTGGGAGTCGCGAATGATAGGTCCGTACCTATCGTACCAGTAAACAAAGGTGTTACCGCTATCTTCGTCTGAGACGAATTTTTGCACGTCTTTGCTCAGCTGATCGTACTGATCCTTGCTGACGTCCTGGACGGCTACCCTTTGGTTGCTGGTCAAAGCCGTGACCAACGCCTTCAGTTGATCCTGTTGTGCTTGCAGTTGCACTTGCATTTGCTCCTGTTGTGCTTGCGACTGCATTTGCATTTGCTCTTGTTGAGCTTGCAATTGTACTTGCATTTGCTCCTGCAGAGCTTGCGAGTGCATTTGCATTTGCTTTTGCTGAGCTCTCCATTGTGCTTGCATATGCTCCTGTTGAGCTTGTAGTCGAGCCTACCCATTACGTTAAATACCCGTTACTTCCATCGAATTGTATTCAAATTTTGATTCGAGCTAGGATTGGTACTTGGGTGAGTAAATGAGCTTTCTGATAAAGAAAACACGAGAGGCAAGGAGCTGTATAGAAAGGGACGAGAACAGAGAAATGTTGTGTAGAAGTGTGAAGGAATGGTGAGATCTATCAAATCATGTTGCCACGGATCGACCAAAGCCTAATTCCAGGCTGGTGGTCTTCCACGTGCTCATAAATCAGCATGTCTACTTATTTCCTGTAGTAAGTCTTGGTGTCTTGACTCAAGTGCACAAATAACTGAATGAAAGAAATCAAGGATTTCCAAGAAAATCTTTTTTGTTTCTGTACTAACAGCTCCAAGCCCAGGGAGTTGGTTTATGAAATGAAGTCCCTCTTCAATTACTACAACATTACATTTAATTGGTGTTTTTTTTTGACTTGGTGCGAGCCCCAAATCCCCCCCCCCCTCCTTCCCCCCCCCCCCCCTCCCCCACTCCCGTTCGCCATTTATGCCTCCATCCCGAGAATATTTTTGCTCAGTGGATATATCCAAGCAAACCTGTGGGAAATGAAATGAGCCTGAGTTTACAAGTACCTGCTACAGTGACACTTTCAAGCTACATAAATTTTTCAGATTACCTACAGTGCAACTACTGCGGTCGAAATTTCAGTGAGAAGGCAGCTGAACGCCATATACCGTTTTGCAAGTTTGTCGTTTAGTCGAAATGAATGTATTTTCAAAAATAACAGATTTCAGGGAGCAAAATGCAAGAAAACCTACAAATTACTCTGCAAAGTCAGTGTCCAGTTACCGCAAATCATCTGCAAAGAGCGAGGTTTTTTACGCATCATAATGTTTTTTTTCGTGAATCATCGAGTGAAGGATGTCAACTTATTATTTTCTCATTCTCCACAGTTGTAACGAATTGAGGTGAATGGCCGAAAGGGAAACTTCCCGATAATTTTGGCGTCGAGAGCGATGCAGCTGGGAACTTTACGAGGGTTCTTTCGAAAAGTTCCCCAAAATGTAGAAGTTTCCCACGGAAATGGAGGGTAGCGCGATAGCTCTAACAACACTGTACGTTCGCTCGATTGCCATCAATGTCATATGCGACCATAGAATTCTGATCTTGCTTATGTAATGGCCACTTCGATAGATTTATCCTACATGAAACTTGTAGTTTCTCGTGTTCTTTTTTTCTGAATGCGTACATAATTTGCGGTGAAGGTGAGATTTTGTGCTGAGAAGCTGCTTCTAGTGCAAAATTCACGCTAGCACTGAGATCAACGCATAGGCTTCAATTCCATCTTATTTGTCTTGATGTTAATGTATGCACTCAAAACCTCTTGTCATACGAATGTAGAACCTTCGTCCCCTCGTCATAGTGTTCGTAAGGAGTTCGTGTACAGCGCAGATTAGTGAACAATAAACTTCCAAGAAAAAAAACTTTTTTCAGCCAAACTGCGCATGAGTTGCATGAGTCACTATCTCACATGTTATCCTAGGCAGAATGCAACGATTCTCTGGTTTCCAAAGCTTTCTAAAGGCAGCGTCCACTCAAATTAATGCACCTTAGATCACTACTCAGTGTACACGCTCTAGACAGGGCACGGCACAGGTGGCTTACCAAGTAAGATGATATCGTTTTGGGAGAAAAAGCAAAGGGGATAGCGTTTTTGCGGTCCGCGTGCCAGCGGCACGCTTTCTCAAACAAACTAAGGGCTTGTTTAGGAACTGAAAATGAAATGACACCAAAATTGATATGTTGATGGGCAATGAGGGGTTAGGACTATGCATAAAAAATTATGAGAAAATCCTGTGAACTAAATTCGTGCTCAACTTTTTTTGGAGTTGGTTGGCTTTCAAGCCACCTTTGGCCGTATTCATCAACGAACCCAGTGGTTTCCGGTACCCAGTGGGTAAGCAAAAACAGTGCCACTGGGTTGGATCGATATTCACAAAAAGCACTGCTGGGTTCGCGAACTCACTAGCTTCGTGAATACTAATCTTGCCGGTTGAACCTGCCCATTGGGTCCCGGAACCCACTGGGTTCGTTGATGAATACGGCTACTGGAAGCCACCGCCTTGGGGAAGAAAAAGTCATAAAATTTCCCTCCCTCGCATACTTTTCTTATCTTCTCTACATAAATCTCATCTGCATCCGAAACCCTGTCAATTGGATCCTAAACCGCCTCAAACCCCTTCCCTCCCGCTTAGTTAGAGCCCCCTAAAAATTTTGAATGGCGGCGGCAACTCTGCCGGGCGCGTAGTGCTGTGCACTGGATACATTATGCCGCCAATCCGGAGAATACGAATATCATCGCGTTTGTTTGATGCTAATCTGGCTTGTTCTGCTTTGTTGCGTTACTTTTCAGGTGTTTTCTCTCCTAATATCTCATGGCGGATGTCTTACTTTCGTAGTGAAGTCAAAGGGGACTTCGTTTTTTTTCGCGATTTTGGGAAGCTACCTCGTGCCGAGCCCTGGCTCTAGAAGAAAACCGACAGTGTTACCGCAGTCCCCCAAGGTTGCTTCTAAAGGAGGAATTGGACCTGCTAATCGGAGAGTCCTTTTCCCGTTCCCGTCCTCTTTTCACTCCACCCATCCAAACATTGCTCCATGGTGCGTTTTGACATGGTAAGAATCTCGAGGGATTGTGTAATGTGGTGGCATGAATGCATACTATAGTTGTAACGAGAAGAAATTTTTCTCGAATGAACGAATATCGAATAATGGATTGTTGAAATTTTTTCGAACAAATGAATACCGAATAATCGATTTTTGAAAAATTTTCGAATAAACGACTATTGTTCGAATTTCGATTTTTATATTATTCAAATTGCGAATATTCGAATATGAGCACATTTCAAAATACTGTCGAATATTCCAATAGCCGAACTTGATCGAGTATTTGACTTTTTGAATGAACGGATAACTGGATAGCATTGAATTTGCATGCCGTATTCGAATATCCGCAGGCAATACTCGAGTGATCAAATGCAGTAGTATTCGAATATTCGAACAATAGTCTTCAAAACTTTTTGAATACTCCATTATTCGAATAACTGCCTTTTAAAATTCCTCGAATATTTGAATTCGAGTAAGTTATTTTTCCTAGTCGTCAAATGAACGAATAATTCGAATAAAGACTTTTTTCATTTATCCGACTACTCGGATAATCGAATAACTGGACTTTTTCAAATAATACTGCTCGAGTATTCAAACAGTCGAATATGTAAATTATTCGAATACGAATTTTCAGTTCCAATTATTAGGTCGTTTCAAAAGTAATTTCGCTTTTTTCAAACGGGCGCCACATTTGATGGAACAAAGGTTTTTAAGCGATCCTGGAAGCATTGGATGCTGCATTCCATTGTCTTTCTAATGGTTATGAAATTGTTGCAAAATAATTGATGAGCTTTCAGAGAATAACCAAACTCTGCGACACATGCTTTTGAGATGGTCAAGTTTCACGATTTTTTGATACTTTCATATCAATCCTCAAAAGGAGTTCAAGTAAGGAGATAGAGTAAACCTTATAGAATACAGCACTACTTTTTTTTCTCCTTCTCTTGGCTCGCCGTAATTTTTCAAAAGATTTTTTAACAGAACCATCGGATTTCGGCAGACCCACCTCAGCCACAATCGCAACAGACACCAATGAAGGTTCGGGATTTGAAACTTCCAAGGTGGTATATGACTAAATATGATTTTACAAAGCAAATGAGAGTTTACGGGTCCGAAATATCAAATTTCGAGTTTTTCGGGTACAGCCTGGAGCTCGCTAAAAAGTGAGTTATGATGGTTTCTCCCCGGAAACTAAACGAGTCGGAAACAAACAACACTGTTTAGAAAGAGGAGAAAATGCTGCATCGAATTGTGCGCGAGCTGCTCTTCTTTTGATGTTCTACGAGGATTTAGCTGCCCAAGTATGGAAATCGGTAGCATCAGTTAAAATTCTGTTAAAAATGTATGACAAGCTATGGAAAGGAGAAAAAGTAGTACTGTATTCTATAAGGTTTACTCTATCGAATCGTTACTTGAACTCCTTCTGAGGATTGATATGAAAGTTTTAAAAAATCGTGAAACTTGACCATCTCAAAAGCATGGGTCGTGGATTTTGGTTATTTTCTGAAAGCTCATTGACTGTTTTGCAACAATTTCATAACCTTTAGAAAGAGAATGAAATTCTGCATCGAAGGCTGCCAAGATCTCTTAGAAACGTTTGTTCCGTCAAATGTGGTGCCTGTTTGAAAAAAGCGAAATTACTTTTGAAACGACTTAATATATTGCGTATGACCTGGCTAACGCCGAAAGTTTGTAAGTCTGCCAAAATAGGGTTCAAAAATTTTCAGGGTTTGGGCCTTTCCTTGCACTTTATGTCCGAATTCAGGACCATGGAAACCCTATAACAATAAGAACATGATTATCGAAATTTTAAATAGACGCTGCTGTTGAGCGAAAGTGCCAACAAATTTACTTGCCACTTTCAGCTTCTGGCCCGCCACAATTCTCTCTACTATACCGCTAACTTTTATATGTATATAGCATGCGTCGTTTTCGCTACCTAGTTGGAACTTTCTTTCCTATGTTTTTCGTAAAGAATTAGTTCGTTTCTTTATCTAGTTTTTACAGCAATTCCATACATCCAAATATCTCCTGTTCCTGTGAGAAATTTCAAAGTCTTGTCCTTGTTTATTCCCCCTCAGGTTCTCACTCACCTCGAATACTATGAATTTGTCTCAAAACTACCACTTTAATTTTTGAGTAAACCACTGCCGATCCTTTCTATGGTTTCTAGTATAAGCTCTGGCTTTTACTTCACGCTCTTAGACCACCAAATTTATATGGTGTGCGAGGCCAGTACTCCCTTTTGGTCCCACAAAAATTTCAAGAATGTCTAGATTTTTCCTTCCACTTACTTCGCCAAAACCTTTGGGATCTCTTGGATATCAAAGCGAAAAGTTCCACCAAACTTATGCTATGCTTTCCAAACTTATGCTAGCGCGCTGCAGTCGTTGATTTATCAAGGACACTTCCTTACACTTCCTCTGTGTGTGTGTGTGTGTGTGTGTGTGTGTGTGTGCGTGTGTGTGTGTGTGTGTGTGTGTGTGTGTGTGTGTGTGTGTGTGTGTGTGTGTGTGCGTGTGTGTGTGTGTGTGTGCGTGTGTGTGTGTGTGTGTGTGTGTGTGTGTGTGTGTGTGTGTGTGTGTGTGTGTGTGTGTGTGTGTGTGTGTGTGTGTGTGTGTGTGTGTGTGTGTGTGTGTGTGTGTGTGTGTGTGTGTGTGTGTGTGTGTGTGTGTGTGTGTGTGTGTGTGTGTGTGTGTGTGTGTGTGTGTGTGTGTGTGTGTGTGTGTGTGTGTGTGTGTGTGTGTGTGTGTGTGTGTGTGTGTGTGTGTGTGTGTGTGTGTGTGTGTGTGTGTGTGTGTGTGTGTGTGTGTGTGTGTGTGTGTGTGTGTGTGTGTGTGTGTGTGTGTGTGTGTGTGTGTGTGTGTGTGTGTGTGTGTGTGTGTGTGTGTGTGTGTGTGTGTGTGTGTGTGTGTGTGTGTGTGTGTGTGTGTGTGTGTGTGTGTGTGTGTGTGTGTGTGTGTGTGTGTGTGTGTGTGTGTGTGTGTGTGTGTGTGTGTGTGTGTGTGTGTGTGTGTGTGTGTGTGTGTGTGTGTGTGTGTGTGTGTGTGTGTGTGTGTGTGTGTGTGTGTGTGTGTGTGTGTGTGTGTGTGTGTGTGTGTGTGTGTGTGTGTGTGTGTGTGTGTGTGTGTGTGTGTGTGTGTGTGTGTGTGTGTGTGTGTGTGTGTGTGTGTGTGTGTGTGTGTGTGTGTGTGTGTGTGTGTGTGTGTGTGTGTGTGTGTGTGTGTCCGTTGCGATATTCGTAGAGCGAGTTCCAGCCAACCTCTTGAGACCAAATTTTGCGCGCCATTTTAAAAAATTCAGGAAGCATTGACATGAACCATAAACAAAGAAGAATAAAGCTTTGGGCGTTTGCTGCCACAAATAGGGCCTGCGTGAACTCATCCGCTGTTGAGGCGGTGCTACCTGTGTACCGATTATTGACACCGGGCACTGGTGCCACGATTGCCAGCTATCGTTATACTTAAAATATATCCGAGCTGATAGTTTGATCCTGTATCAAATTATTCACTCACTGAAAAGTCTATTGGTGGACTAAAATTTGAGGGAGTTGTAAATCACTAGAATTTTTTTGAGTTGTTGAGCTCGGTGTTTGCCAAATCAAAACCCTTAGTTGGACATATTCTCTATTCAGAACTTTCTTTTACTGTAATAACTTAGCCGATATAATAACGGATGATAACCTCGAACGAAAACGCGAAGGCCATAAGAAGTTTGAGATAGTAATAAGCATAAAAATGTCTTTGTTGTCAAACAGTATCACTGGGGAACGGAACTTATCTACCCGAAGCACATGCCGCAGCGTAGCTATACAGGTCATGAGTTGTCAGCAACGCAAATTACCATCTAATCATCGCCGTATGAGATCCAGTCTGTGCACACAGCACCCTCGTTCTCATCCTGGAAACATGAAACTAAAATTCAATGAAATTTCAAATTCAAAGGATAGTAAAATTCAATGAAATTTCAAATTCAAAGGATAGTAGCGATTTGAGTCCGATTGAAGTGAAAACTTGGATTTAGGGGTTTTCAAGCACGCTGTTCTTGAATACGCTAGTGATTTTGCTCCATTCTTCCAAATTTATTCCTTTTCGTAAATTGGGCTAATCGCTCTCTGGGGTAAATACCGTCAAAGTTTGTTGATGAACACGGGTCAATCGCTTATCTGGGTAAACCTTAACCTCAAAGGTTCGTTGATGAATACGGCCAATAAACCCTAAGGGCAAAACCTATTTTACCCTCAGGGTTTGTTGGTGAATACGGCCACTGATTCGTACCGGTGCAAATCTGCATCCATCGGCTGCACTAACTAAAAAAGCCAGAAAGTACTTCGGATCTCTATTGTTTCTCTTGAATTTAACTGCATGATCTTCCTACTACACGTCCTAGTCACTGACAAAAGTATCGGAATCTGAAAACCTTGCTTCTGTGAAGTTTGATTTGGTCTGGCAATAACGATTGCCGAAACGCTCGCTTCCCGACATACAGCATGAGATGCCTCTAGTACGTAAAGGTTTTACTAATGGCGTAGCTTTGATAATCTCTCAATACTTTCGAGACATATTGCATTTATATCATTGACACTCGTATGAAAATCACGACGTTTATATTCTTTGCAGGAATTTTTCTCATTAATCTCAAATGTTTTTTATGATTAAAAGAGACTTCAACCTCGCATATTATCAATGCCCATTACCTCACTGTGGCTTACTTCCCACTCGGTCCAATACAGATAGCAATATCCTTGAACATTCTGACAAAGGTCCGATTAGTCGAAGTGGCCTTTTCAAATGAATTATACTACTTCAAGGAGCATCAAACGGTGATTCCAAATCTGATTTTTTTGATCTGCCGAGCGCCTCTGCATGCTGAGTTATGAATATTTTCTTGGTGCGAAAAGTGAACGCATAATCTAGGTGAAATTAAATTTTACGGTTTTTTCAGCGCTCAAATAGAGCATTGTGAAGTATGAGTGTTTTGGACAGAAGGTGTCGTTCGCATGGAGTGCTCAGATAATCAAACTATTCAAGCTCTGACGAATTTTGTGCTAATCTGATACATTAGGAAACATAAGTGCAATCCAAAAATCTGCAAATGGCGGGAAACCGCTTGGCGGTCCCGAAGCGAAAGCTCTTGCAAATAGCACCTTCAAATTACTAGTTCACTAGTTAGGCATTCATTTTGTCAACCTAAAAAACGCTCTAACTCGACGTTTAGAGGCGCTCGGCAGATAAGGAAGACAGATTTTGAATCAGCGTTCGATGCTCTTTATAGTCGTATGAATTTTATGTGGAAAGGCCACTTCGGTAAAATGGAAATCCCTCGTGAGTTTAAAAATACTGAGATCTTCAAATTCATTGTTAGTCATCCTGGCTCAAGTGCATCTCTGCATTTCTGCGCATACGGTAACCCATTGATCAAAACAATAGTCGTATTTTCTTAAGGTGATATGCTTTTTTGCATTCGCATACAAATCACTCCTCTGCAGTCATGTTGTTGAGCTAACGTTATAATCCTCAGAAGAAGATGATTGCTTCCATGAGGGCAACTTGATACACTCTCACTGGTTCTGCTTGCAGGCCGGAAACGAAATCCCCTTCAATTCATCACAAAGAAGATCACAAGATGAGCAACATTCATCGCAGAGAACAGAGTCACGTGCTAAGTATGTCGTTGATTCATTCTATACTTCGTGGTTTTTGATTTTTTTTAGCTGGCATATTGTAATCAAACTACTTCTACGCATAGTCAGTGCCCCCCCCCCCTCCCTCCAATACTAGAAATGCGTTTTGTTAAGAGGCATGCTCAGTTACTCTCCACCAAAGCTCAGCTTCTAGCTTAAACTTCACTCAAAATTCAAAAAATCGTTGGAAAGTTGCTTTACAAGCCACTAGCTGGCTTACCCGGCTCCGCCGTATCCGGACCAAACTTGGCACACATACACTTCGGGCCCCGACGGGTGTCACAGTCCACTTTTCGTTATCGATCGATGTCGATTTTACCGATTTTTATCGATTTTTTTGCAGAGTTCACCTACAGGGCTAGGAGTTGGCACAGGGGGGGGGGAAGTGAGCATGGGGATTCCGAATACAATATTAGTTTTCAGAATTATCGATTACTTTTATTGATTTTATCGATTTTTTGTAAATTTTGACATGCGAGGCTGGGATTTTGCACAGGGGGTAATCGAGCATGCTGATTACGAACACAATATTAGTTTTCAGGATCGTCCGTTACTTTTATCGATTTTATCGATTTTTTTGTAAAGTTTGACCTGCGGGGCTGGGAGTTTGCACAGGGGGGTAATCGAGCATGCAGATTACGAATACAATATTAGTTTTCAAGATCGTCCATTACTTTTATCGATTTTATCGATTTTTTGAAAATTTGAGCTAGGGGGCTGGAATTTGGCACAGGGGTGTAATCGAGCATGCTGATCACCCCCCTTGGGAGTGATCAGCATGCTCGATTACCCCCTGTGCGAACTCCCAGCCCCGTAGCTCAAACTTTGCAAAAAATCGATAAAATCGATTAAAGTAATCGATAATCCTGAAAACCAATATTGTATTCGGAATCCCCATGCTCGATTACCCCCCTGTGCCAACTCCCAGCCCCGTAGGTGAACTCAGCAAAAAAAGCGATAAAAATCGATAAAATCGATATCGATCGATGACGAAAAGTAGCCTATGACACCCGCCGGGGCCCGCAGTGTATGTGTGCCAAGTTTGGTCCGGATCGGTTCAGAAATGGAATTTTCTATTCGGAACATACGTACAGACATACATACAGACAGACATACAGACAGACAGACAGACAAACAGACATTCAGCTTTATATATAAGACTAGATGGCAAACCCGGCTCCGCCCGGGACCAAACTTTGCACACATACACTTCGGGGCAGGGAGCGTGTCATAGTCCACTTTTCGTTATCGATCGATGTCGATTTTCAACCCCTCCGGGGTGATCAGCATGCTCGATTACCCCCCTGTGCAAAATCCCAGCCCCCTAGCTCAAATTTTGCAAAAAATCGATAAAATCGATATCGATCGATAACGAAAAGTAGCCTATGACACGCTCCCTGCCCCGAAGTATATGTGTGCCAAGTTTGGTCCAAATCGGTCCAAAAATAAAAATTTCTATTCCGCACATACGTACAGACAGACATACATACAGACAGACATTCAACTTTATATATAGGGGCCTGCAGGATCGCGAGAGTCGGACGCGCGTACGGCCTTTGCGCCGCGCACGCCTGATATCGCTGGGTCGTAGCCGATTAAGGCTAGATATTTAAGTTTTTTTGTTTTCTTTACATTTCACGCCTTCTTTTCTTTTCAGACGGTGAGCACATGTTGGTGCGGAGGAGTTTAAGATCTCAATTAAGGTGAGGTGCAGGATTATGCTCAATACGGACTCAATATTGCAGACCTTCCATGCCTGCTGTTGAGATGTTGGATTTTCTGTCCTGGCTGCCCTGTTACAGCAAACTGTTCTATTTCTACCGTCTATTCTACCTTATCTTGCATATTGCTTGTGATGATGATGATGATGATGATGACAATGATTATGATTGTGATGACGCGCATGATGCAAGATGAGGTAGAACAGACGTTGCAAATAAAACGGAGTTTCGTAACCGGGCAGGCAGGACGAAAAATCGAACATAATCGGACAGCCAGAACAGAAAACTCAACATTCTTCAAAGCAGGGGTGAAAAGTCCACAATATTGGCCCGTATTAAGCATAATCCTGCACCTCACCTTAATCTAGATCTTAAACTCCTCTGCACCAACATATGTTCGCCGCCTGGAAAGAAAAGAAGGCGAGAAATGAGAAGAAAAACAAAAAATCTCACCTATCCAGCCTAAATCGAGTACGACCCAGTGACATACGACGTGCGCGGCGCAATGGCCGTACGCACGTCCGACTCTCGCGATCCTGCAGGCCCCTATATAAGATTGCTATGCATGCTCGCTATATCGGGAGACGGTCGAGCGGCGCGATTTCTCCAGAGTTCAGCAAGTCAATTCCAGACAAAGTGCTTTAGCTTACCAGCTATCTTAAATTACCATTTGCTAAGTCTGACGGTTTTTCATGGAAGACCGAAACATCCATAATTTTGCCATTGATTGGATTTTTACGAGATTTGACCTCTACAATTTATGTTTTGGACCTATTCGAAAATGTTAAAGGCAGTTTCTCACCAAAATTTACTTGCCGAGTTTGCATTTTGCAAGAATCTCGAACCCTGTCTAGCACTGTATGGGCCTTAAATCGCAAAGTTCCCAAAAACCCCGTTTTCTGGAGGCCCGCGAAAGCAACGTGGACGAGTTGTACCTTCCAACTTCAGCCTCAGCCACAGTGGCAGCAACACAGGGGAGGTGGATGCCAAGTGGAGGGACATGTTCAAACGCGTAAGGGGGGCCGACCGAAAGAGTCGTCCGCGCGTACCAAGTCGCTCTCCGCGTACCACTTTAAGCGAATTTTGCTCAGCTTGGAAGGGGTCAAATTGAGTGGGACTTGTTGCAATGGCCTATTTAGAAGTCCCTATGATAGAATATGCGAAAATCCGCGCGACCTCACTTTGGTGAGACACTGCCTTCAAAGTTAAGCAGCTCACGCAACGATCTTGTATGTATAATTCCACCATACCCTGGTCCAAATTAATTGAAAATTCGATCACTCGAATAAAACATTCGAATACTCGCATCCGAGATTCGAAATCGAAGTTTCCATTTTCAAATATATAAATTTGAAAACCAAATCAATGGAGACTCCGCGCGGACCTCTCCTTCTGGCGGCATACAGTCCTCTACCCTTCATTCGCTTATTTAGCGCCTTGCGGTGAGGACACATCTGCAAAGAATCAAATGCCTTGACAACTAACTGGTTACTTACGCTAATGGCCACAGAGAGAACATTGCCATAAAACGCACAAGTGCTGTTGGTAACGCAACAACACTATATTTACCGTCGAATCTTCTAAGCTACATGTCGATACATCTATTAGGTTGTCCCACTAGTCTTTTCATTTTTGAGTTTTCGCTGTGATAAGTCGTACACTTCTTATTCTTGATAGACAAAAGGATACCATTCGATATAGCATAGCAAGCTCTATAAGATTGCGTTTATGCTTTTGCACCAGCTTCGATCCACCTCAAGTTTGAAACCGAAATCTGAAAAATTTCGGATGCCCAGAAAATTGAAAATTTTTTATATCTTTATTCAGAAAAGCCCTACAAATCTCTCACTCGCTCACGCATAAACGCTCCACATCAGACGTTCATATGTGCTGTTGCTGTCTTTTTTTATCAGTAACTAGCTGGCTTACCCGGCTCCACTCGGCTCTGCCAAAAGACTATCATAAAGGTACCATTCCTATCCCTATGCAACCTTCCCCTGTGCCCACTTATACATGCCAGTTCCCTATTCACGCTGTGTTAGTAATCAGCATGCTCACTTACTCCCGTGTGCCTCCCAGTCCCATATTTAAACATTGCAGAAAATCGATAAAATCGATAAAAATAATGGACGCTTTCGGAAACTAATACTGTATTCGTAATCAGCATACTCGATTACCCCCCTCCTGTGCCAACTCCCAGTCCGTAGATCAAACTTCACAAAAAATCGATAAAGTCGATAATAGTAATAGATAATTCCAGAAACTGATACTGTATTCGTAATTAGCATGCTCACTTACCTCCCCTTTGCCAACTCCCAGCCTCGTAGGCCATACCATGCAAAAAATCGATAAAAATCGACACGATCGATAACAAAAAGAGCCTATGACACGCTCTCAGCCCCGAAATATATGTGTGCCAAGTTTGGTCCAAATCGGTTCAGAAATAAAAATTTCTATTCCGCACATACGTATACACACAGACAGACACACATTCAGCTTTATATATAAGATTAAGAAACCAAAAATTTGTATGTTTTTGCCAAAGTGATACTGTGCTTTTCTTATACTCACAGTTGTATACTACGAACCCTCAGAAGTACAATTGTAAATTTTCAGCCCTTTATATGCTCTAGTTCCTACGAAAGATTGGATTTAGCTTTCCTCGCTTAGGTTTATCACGCTTAACTTAACATTTCTCGGAAAGCAGAGCTTGAAGAGAGCTGAAAATTTCTATTTATACTTCTAAAGGCTCATAGTATACAACTGTTAGTATAAGAAGAGCAGAGCATCACTTTGGTAAAGTTACCGAAATTCTCGGTTTCTTGATTTCTAGCTAATGAAAAGAGACAGCAACAGCACATATGAGTGTCTAATGTGAGAGTATATGCATGAGCGAGTGAGAGATCTGTAGGATTTGAATGAAGATAGAAAATTTTTAATTTTCTCGGCATCCGAAACTTTTTAGGTTTTGGTTTCAAACTTGAGGTGGATCGAAGCTAGTGCAAAAGCATAAACGCCATCTTATAGAGCTTGCTTTGCTTTATCGAACGGTGTCCTGATGTCTGTTCAGGTCAAGAAATGTTACACTTTACAGCAAAAACTCAAAAATGAAAAGACTTATGGGACAACCTAATAAAATTAAAGACTCAGGGAACCCACAAGGCTATAAACTGTTTTTACAATATCTTATTCAATTTCCTTGAAATAATAACCCAACTTGTTTGCTTGCTTCTATAAGCATGTGCATTGCATTTTTGGTGTCGAACTTTCGATATCCCCTTATTTAGGTCAATGGAGACGAGGCACTCTTCCCGAACTCTCCGTTCTTCATCCAGGAATGCTTCACAATCTGCGGGCGCACGTCAGCAGGAAAATACCAAGGCATTCAGCCCAAAGTACTGTTTCTTTTTAATATGAAGTGCAGCTAAATTTTGTTATAAAGACGCTCCAAGTCTTTCCAAAAATCTTTCCAAAGTGAAAATTTGAAGACAAGAAGGAAGACCTTAGAGCGTGGCGTTGAAACTGTGGACGCTAGGCGTAGTTGGTTGGTGGGCAGGTTGGACGAACTTTATTACAAACAGAAAAATCCACTCATTTATGTAATTTTAGAACCTCTCATGCATATAATGGTTGAATGCAAGTAACCTTTCAGATATTCTCGCTTACTTTTATACTTTGATTTTCCGAACAAACCGTTAACTTTCTGCATTTTTCGGATGAACTTTAACACCTTGACGACCAAAGCCTTTCTCGGACCAGCCAACATTTTTTAGATAAAATCACGCACAATTCCATTTACAGTACATCTACAGTAGCGTTGGAGTGCTGGCAAAAACAGTAGAGGATGTATCTAGATTCAGCATAAAAGAAAACTCCCAGTTGATTTGAAACAAATTAGTAGCCATTTCAATGGGAGTCATAGTGTGTCAAGCCTGGACACACCATGTGTGTCAAGCCGTCAGTGTGTTAAGCAGGGCTCGGCACATATCGTACGGAGCAGGCTGGACTTTGTTTTTGGGGCGAAAAAGTAAAGATGGTATCGTTTTACGGCCAAAACCTGCAACGTTTTTTTCAGTCGACGTTTTTGAGGAGTTTTTTACGATTAGGGCTGAGAGTCAGAGGGGGACTTCGTAAAATTTCGCGAAAGTCGAAAGGGACTTCGTTTTCAAGAAGCCTAAAAAGGAACTCATTCCAAGCCCTGACTTTAAGGCATGTTGAACCAAAATCCTGGCTTCAAAACATATGATGAGCTCAATTACGTGCCTAGAACAGCCACGACTCACTGAAAATCTTTTGAGGGTGGGGCAGATAGCGGAACTCGCCTTCAGCTAGGTATTGATCGAAACCTTTATCGAAACCTTCGGTAGCGCTATACCGGCACTGAGACCAGAGGCGCGATGGGTGGAGCCGCCCTCCCCCCCCCCCCCCAAAATTTCCTTCTCAAGAGCTTCATAGGCTTTCTCACTGAATAATAAAAAGGAAAAATAAGAAAAACAGATTCAAAGCTTAATAAAAGCTTTTTTTCTCGCTCATTTTACTTTTAGGAACTCGCCGTAGCCTACTGCGAGCACCCGAAGGCCATACTGGCACGGACGCATCTAAGCCTCAGCACTTCCCACAAATTCGGAGAGCAAAGCTTCTTGATGAATTTCAAAAGCTCTAACCCAGTAGTGCTCTTTGAGGTTAACAACTGTAAAGAAACGGCCCTCTCTAGGGCCACAAATAGATGAGTACAGCGGCATAAATCTTTGAAATAAACGTGTTAATCAAATGGTGTATTTTAGAGTAAAAAACTCAGTCAGACTTTAAGAGTTTTATTGAGTAAATTTTGTTAAAACGTACTGCGAAGAAAGTAAGTCGATCCAGGCAGTAACCACCGAGAACCAGAATTTGGAATATTAAAACAGCGAAAAGTCATGCGAATTTTACTGTTATAAATTTAGTGGTTGAAGATGTCAGCAATTGCGACTTTAGACTTTCTGGAAGGTAAGTGCTGTTCTACCAGACATTGAAGGAACCATGTCGATTTGAGCAGTGACCGCCGAGAACGAGAATTTGTGAAAATTAAGCGATTTTAGGTTGCTTAGTGACAGCTGACGTTTAGACCCCTATAAATCTGCAATGTGAAGATGTGCAATGTTGAGACTTCTTAGGTTTTGTAGAGTAAAGATTGCACTATCAGAAAATGACTGAGATAGCGCCGAGATCCAGGCTCTTGAAGAAACAGGTAAAAAACTGCTTTTTAGACTTCAACAGCTCTTAACTTCTTCAGAGCTGCATGAATCATGTTGCTACTTTATATGTTAGTCCTCTCATCAAGAGCTTTCAGATGATATATACCATGTGAGGATTTGGGGCCTTTTACGACTTATGCCCGGTGGAGGAGACTTTTCATCACAAATCCTCTGGCGGCCTCCATCCAATACATTAAAGTGGGCTAAGGGGGGGGGGAGAGAATTTGTGATGAAAAGTTTCCTTCACCGGGCATATGCCGTGAGAGGCGCGAAACCCCCACATACTATATGTCATCTGAAAGCTCTTGAAGAGTAGAATTCAACTTATGAAGTCGCAACATGTTCATGCAATTCTGAAGAAGTTATAAGCTGTTGAAGTCTAAGAAGCGGTTTTTTACGTGTTTCTTCAAGAGCCTGGATCTCGGCGGTGTCTCAATCGGAACGGTTAAGACATATTCTGATTAGGGCTTACCTTACTCTACAAAACTATGAAATCCAACATTGCACATCTTCACACCAGATTTATAGGAGTCTAAACGTCAGCTGTGACTAAGCAACCTGAAATTGTTTGATTTCTTTAAATTCTCGTTCTCGGCAGGCACTGCTCAAATCGACATGATTTCTTCACTGTCTGGTAGAACAACACTTACCTCAAAACATATGAAGTCGCAGTTGCTGACATCTTCAATCCCCAGGTTTATAATAGTGGAAAATTTCGCAAAATTTTTCCTTGTTCTATCGTTCGAAATTCTGGTTGTCGGCGGTTACTCCCTGGATCGACCCACTTTCTTCGCAGTACGTTGCAGCAAAATTTACTTAGGAAACTACGTATAGTTAGCCGCTTTTTACTGGCAAATACACCATTTATTTAACACGTTTATTTCAAATATTTATGCCGCTGTACTCATCGTATTTGCGGCCCTAAAGAGGGCCGTTGCTTCACAGTTGTTAACCTCAAAGAGCACCACTTGGTTAAAGCTCTTGAAATTCATAAAGACGCTTTGTTCTGCGAATTTGTGGAAAGTGCTGAGGCGTAGATGCGTCCATGTCCGTGGTGCTCGCAGTAGATGACGGCGAGTTCCTAAAAGTGAACTACATAGAACTATGTTCTTAAAGGCGATCTCAACCGAGTCAAATTTTCGCTTACCTGGAGTTATTTAATACGCTGATTCCGAAAATCCACTTTTGAGAGCTTGAAAACGCCGAAAACGAGCGTTTTTCAATGCCCTTCCCTTTGGAATTGGACGAGTGCAGCAAGGCTGATGACGCCGAATCGTTGCAGGACTCAATGTTATAGCATTGGGGCGGGCAGCCTCCAATGGTGAGAAGGAAATTGCCAACTCATCCGGATGCGTGTAAGAATGGTCTGCGCGTGTAAGTTTGAGAGCAATTTTCTCGGCAAGGAAGGCATGCTGTGCAACCGGTTTGCACTGTTTTCGTACTTGGGCAGTAAGGAGTCTACCGCGTTGAAATTTTGAGTTGTTGAGTTTTGGCGACCCACTGCCTTTGATACTTTCTTTTGCATTCGTTTTGCCTATTTTCCTTTTTTTAGCTTCAGCAAAAAAAAAATTCCAAAACCAAAAGTGAAGGTGCCCAGTACCAGCTCAAATGTGAAGGTAGGCGGAGACTCGGCTCCGACTATCGCACCTCTGACTGAGACAGCGCCAGGACAGCACGCCGGCTGCAAAAAATACGCCCGGAGTGGTTTCCGGGCTCCACAACACTGACAGCCCTCATGATAGTTTTTGTCCTCATTTCTGATCTTGTCCTTTTGATATCAGTCTTACCAACGTCAAATAGAGCATGTTTTTAAGATTGTTCCGATCATCATTGTTATTAAATTATGGGCAGTGCAACAACAATCACTCACAACCAGGATCAAGCGTGTTGATGCGATCCGGGCTCTCTCTTACGCCCCCCTCCCCCCTTGAAGATACCAATTAGTACGGTCCTTTTCCCTCCCCTCAGTCCAACTCCTCTTCACCCTTTTGCAGCAACCTGCATTAACGAATGTCAGAGCACCTCAGGATGTTAATGAACCTCAGTTAGAAATCATATGTCAGAAGAAGTAAAGTCTGGTTACAAATTGGGAGATAATGCAAGTAATGCTTCATTGTTCAAAAACTTCTCAAAAAACTGTGTGAATTGGGTAAGTAGGAAAATTCTACAAAGATTTGGCTGTACTGTACTTTGGTCGCGAAAAGATGGACGGTCTAGACGAAGTAAATAACTGTAACCTGCCCAGACGCTGAATTATGAATAAAAACTGAAAATGTAGAACAATTCACTTCAGTCGCGATAGTTAATTGTCTTATGGTGTAGTAATTTCTTTTCTGATAACAGATAAGAGATTCTTTATTCGTGAATGTTTGGCATAAGTCATTCATGTTTTACTTAATGTACTGGGAGACATCCTTTAGGTTAAAATCAAGAACGCTTCGGACTTTGATGATAGTCTTGGGTTTGACCCCCGTCTGCGAAACTATCTCTTTTAACGAAAAATGGTTTTTTAGCTTAAAGATTTTCCACGAATGAAAATTGTATCCTACTTTTTGCAGAGGTTTTCCTGCTAGCAAAACCATTTTAGCGTTTTTTTTTGAATGATATTAAAAACCTGCATGACACGGTACTTTGAGAATTCGTAATCAAGTTCAGAGAAAGGCTGAGAAGTTACAGTGGACAGGTTGTGTGGTAGAGTGCCAAGACAAATGAAGAAAAAAGCTGCAGTTTATTAGTAGCAGTCAGCTCGAAAAAATTTAGGCGCGTCTTGCAAATTAGATGCGCTCTTAGAAATCAATAACTGTGGTTTTTGACCGAAATTTTGTAACTTACTAAAGGTGCAACGGAACAGCTCGGAATTTTTCATGACAGAAATCAGGAGGATGGCGCCGTGACACAGCGAAATTGCAGCGAACAATTCTCCATAGCTCAATTTCAGATGCGACCCAGATACTTCCCCCCCCCCTTCCTTATTTTTGTTGCCATACATAAAATTGGAAGAAAATACGTAGGCTGTACAATAAGACCAGATTTTGCACAGATATAGAATGGCATTTTTGAAATGCAGTTGAATTGTATGGACCGTTGAAACATTAGAAAAGGATTTACAAATTATTGATGGTCACCCCTGGTAGAGATACGCGCTTTTGTCGCATGTGTGAGACTTCAGTGAGGTTTCGAAAGCAGGACTTTTTTCTATAACAATCGTTACACTCAACATCTTTATCGCACATACATGCTTTCAATGGTGTCTGAGTTTCTGAAAGTGAGTTTTGATGTTTAGTATATACAAAAAATGTTGCCCATTGGTTTTCATTTGATGCATTGATACACAGCATTCTACCAAATTTATTGTAAAGAATATGTGATTATTTACTAATCGATTTTCTTCGTCGCTTACGGTTCACCCACTCCTTCCTTTTACCCCCCCCCCCCCCCTCCCAACGTAAGTGCCTTTTTACGACTCCCCGTTGCGACAGTCGCATCATACGCTTGACCCTGCTTACAACCACTTTCTATGCATCGACGCTTGAACCTGCTTACAACCATTTCTATGTGTGATCTTACTGAGCTAGTTTTATAGTACCAACCTCCGGTTAAGCACACACGCCAAAAGTTTGCTTTCCATTTTGAAGAGGCTTTGGGATGGGGGAACGAAGGCCGCCAGTTTGAGCCGCGTTTTGCGGCCACCTGGTCCTTTTGTAGTGTTGTTGCATGTCGTTCCAGGAACAGTAGTCTGCGGAGGCGGCCCATGCTGGCTGCTGTCGTTCCCCTACCCGAGGCTTTGCAGTAAGATTAGTTACTCGTGACAAGCCCAGTCCGTGACCATACCACCCACCGATTTGAATAAGCAGTGGATTGAACAATTTTAGATACATCATTTCATAACAAGCCTGAGCTTGTCCTTTCTTAATTTCAAGCAGAGAAAATCCCAGACTGACTGATTTCCAAATCTAACGCTTAACTCTCACCTCTATTTCTCTCCGATTTTCCCCTTGAAGAGTCTCAATAAATCTCATCTGCAAAGCCGCAGGGCGTAATTAAACGGCACTTCAAGCACATATAGTACTTTATTTATATACCAGTGCGTCACCTCTGCTTCGCAGAGGCTCGCACTGGCCCTATTTTCTGTATGCCTTACTCATTCCCGCATAATAATGACATTGAAACTCACCGCGCTATGTAGGCTATCACGAATAATTCGTAAACAACTACTCATTCGTAGAGGTCTTCCATGTGAGATCGGTATTTTCGCGTGGTTAAAATCTTTTCCAAAAGAACAGATGCAAATTTGAATAGGCTTTTGGAATTTTTATGGCTTGGTAGTCGCCGTAAGGACAATAGACATAGTGGGCTACACTTCTGTGCAAAAATCTTCTCAAATAATCAGGTAAAATCTTGAAAAATTGACCGTTTACATAGCGAATGCTTTTTGGCGCTGTTCTCGTAAAGTAGTAGGCTTTCCATTACTTTTTTAGGCTAACGTCCATGGCTTGCACATTAGCTTGTCAAATATATCCTTAACTCTGCAAAAAGTAGTACTACGGACCCAAATTTGCTGGCCAAAAGCCAAGTGGATCCATTTGACGCGCAATTTTCAATGGATCCAGTCACGCATTCGCTCATGCTTTTGTGTAGTGAGCTTTCATGCTTGTAGCGTGCGCTGTGCAAAATTTGAGCTCAGGGACGTTGGCTGGAACACGCTCTACGAATTTCGTGACAGACAGAGATTCACACACACACACACACACACACACACACACACACACACACACACACACACACACACACACACACACACACACACACACACACACACACACACACACACACACACACACACACACACACACCACACACACACACACACACACACACACACACCACACACACCACACACACACACACACACACACCACACACACACACACACACACACACACACACACACACACACACACACACACACACACACACACACACACACACACACACCACACACCACACACACACACACACACACACACACACACACACACACACACACACACACACACACACACACACACACACACACACACACACACACACACACACACACACACACACACACACACACACACACACACACACACACACACACACACACACACACACACACACCACACACACACACACACACACACACACACAACACACACACACACACACACACACACACACACACACACACACACACACACACACACACCACACACACACACACACACACACACACACACACACACACACACACACACAACGTAAACAACCCTTAGCCCGTTATTATAAGTTATGATGTGTGACAGATTCTCTAAATTTTATTTGGAATGTTTTTTCGTTGCACAATTTCGAGTACTGGATATTGAGAGTAAGTTTTTTGCCAAAAAAGCTTTATTCAAATACTGAATACTGAGAACGCATAACAGAAAAAGGTGCCGTTGTTTACAGACGAAGTTCTTCTGCGCCGAGGACACCGGCTTCACGTCTAAAAACGCCGTTAGTGAAATTTCGTTCTTTTTGAAGCACATTCAGTCATCATAAATTTCAGGACGCCAGTTAGTACTCTGCGTTGATACCACTGCTTAATTTCGTTCTTTTTGAAGCACATTCAGTCATCATAAATTTCAGGACGCCAGTTGCATCGCGAATGAGGGTGAAGGATTAGTTTTGCATGATTTTATACCATATCTCCTTTTTGAATTGAACACAGTTTTAGTTGTGATAAAATTTGATGCAAAGCTTCTTCTCGTCAAAGGTTTGGAAAGAATTGAGGTGAAGCCGAGCTAGAGCTGGGCACGACTCTACTTGAACAGCTAGATTGCCTAAGGCAAAGCATGCCGATGCTTTCCCCATATATTACAAGATATTCAAAAAATATATTCGAGAAGGAAAATTTGGCTATCTAAATAACCGAATAATGGAAGGTATCGCCTACAAACGTATGCAATATCAAAGTTCGAATAAATTCTGATAAATGCTTTGTTCAAATATTTGATATTTCTTGGAATACGTAGTTAGTCAATTAATTCCATCTTATATATAAAGATGAATGTCTGTTTGTATGTCTGTCTGTCTGTCTGTCTGTATGTGTGTACGTATGTTCCGAATAAAAAATTCCATTTCTGAACCGATCGGGACCAAACTTGGCACACATACACTTCGGGCCCCGGCGGGTGCCATAGGCTACTTTTCGTCATCGATTGATATCGATTTTATCGATTTTTTGCAAAATTTGAGCTAGGGGGCTGGAATTTGGCAGAGGGGTGTAATCGAGCATGCTGATCGCCCCCACGGGGGTAATCAGCATGCTCGATTACACCCCTCTGCCAAATTCCAGCCCCCTAGCTCAAATTTTGCAAAAAATCGATAAAATCGACGTCGATCGATAACGAAAAGTGGACTATGACACCCGCCAGGGCCCGAAGTGTATGTGTGCCAAGTTTGGTCCGGATCGGTTAAGAAATGGAATTTTCTATTCGGAACATACGGCGGAGCCGGGTAAGCCAGCTAGTACGCAATATAATGCGGCTGCACGTCAGGAGGTACGCCGCGCGCGGCGGCCGCTCTGCCACCCATGCCGCGTTCAACTTTGGGGCCCACGATACACTCCGCTGTTAGAGATTTCCGGCGGCAAAAACAGGGGGAGGGGGGTGGGGCAGATACATGACCGATGTCATAGGTAAGTAACATTGCAACAGAAACTCTGCTGTTGCATTGGCTGAAGTATGGTGCGACGTCGCTTCGCGAAAAAATCGCGCCGATCGTATCTCTTGACCGTTTGCCAGTACTTTGATATATGGTTATAGTCAGTCAATCGAATAAACAGTGAAGGTTGTATATCCGATTGACTATGTATATTCGAAAATGCAGGAACTTGCGTAACAAATCGAGTACATTCGAAAAAGTAGAAGATTGGGTTGTTCCATATCGCAGCATCGATCCCACTGACTGCAGCAGCCGCAACAGCCGCAGCAGTCACTGCTGCCTTAAAGGCAGCGTCCAGGCAAGTCTGGACCTATGGGGATTTTACGTGGAAAGTACTTTTGGGGCCCTAACTAAGCCACTGCCCAACCGGCAGCTCAGGTAGTGCCCTAACGCCTATTCCCCTCGAAACTGGACCCCGCGACCGTGTTTCGCATGGATTCATGGCGCAAAGCGTGGATCCTGGCACGAAACTGCCATGAATCCATGCGAATACGTTCGCGGGGGCCAGTAGGGGAATATCTCAGCCATTAGAGCACTACCTGAGCTGCCGCTTGGGTAGTGCCTAAGTTAGGGCCCCAAAAGTACTTTCCACGTAAAAGCCCCATGGGTCCAGATCTGCCTGGACGCTGCCTTTAAAGGCAGCGTCCAGGCAAATCTGGACCTATGGGGCTCTCACGTGGAAAGTAATCTTGAGGCCTAAATAAGACTCTACTCAAGCGGCAGTTTAGATAGCACTCGTGGCTAATGGATTTGTGGCTCGGCACATTAGTTTCGCGTGGATCCCCGCGCGAGCGCCACGAATCCATGCGGATACGATCACGGGGCATAGTTTGGAGCCCAATATCTTAGCCGTGAGTGCACTATATGAGCTGCCGCTTGGGCAGAGTCTTATTTAGGGCCTCAAGATTACTTTCCACGTGGGAGCCCCATAGGTGCGATTTTCCTGGACGCTGGCTTTAAAAAATAGCCTTACAAAGTAAAATTTCCTCAGTTCACCGATTCCAATCAAGTTCTCGCTTTACTTGCTCAATATCATATTCATGATATTGAATATGATATTGAGCAAGGGCCCGTCCTCGATTTCCCACCACCTATTTACAAGTCAAGTCATTCATATGATCATGTGTGCATCACACTCGTACACCTTTGGCGTCCCCATCCTGGATTTGCAATCGCAAAAACGCAGGGAACTAGGCGCTTATCGCATACATTACTTCTAGAAGGGTTCGTAACTAAAAAGAAAGAAAAGCGTAAAGAAACCGCCACACCTAACTGAAGGGGTAAATACACTCACCATGAACCTCGAAATTATTTTTAAAAAAGTGTGGCGGTAGCCATGCCCCTAAAAATTTTTTACAAGACTAATACAAATTCAAAAAGCTCGGAAAACTATTTTAATTTTTTTAAAGTACAAATAGTCACTTCTACATTTCTATAACCCTTGCAAGTAACTTTCAAAAATTTGGCGACCTAATCTTCGTGTATATATCAGGTCATTTCGAAAGTAATTTCGCTTTTTTCAAATTGGCGCCACATCTGAAGGAACAAAGCTTTCTGAGAGATCTTGGTGGCATTCGATGCAAAAATTCATCCTCTTTTTAGCGCTTATAAAACCTTTGCAGGACAGTCAATGAGCTCTCTGAAAATCCACAGATTCTGCGACCGATGCTTTTTGCTATGATCAAATTTAGCTATTTTTCAAAATCTTTGTATCAGTCCTCTGAAAAAGCCCAAGTAACGAATGGATAGAGCAAATCTGTAGAATACAAAACCATTTTTCACTCCCTCATAGCTAGTCATATTTTTTGATAGAATTTTAATTGATGCTACCAATTTCCATTCTTGGTCAATTTGAACCACGTAGAACATCAATCGGTGAGCAGCTCGGGTGTCATTCGATGTTTTTAAATGGGAGTTTTTTGTTTCCGATTCGTTCAGTTTTCGGGGATAAAATCATCATTACTCATGTTTTTGAACTCCCCCACGCCTGTAGCCGAAAAACACGGAAGTTCATATTCCGAATCCGTAATCATTTGCTTTGCAAAACCAATATTGAGTCATATACCATTATGGAAGTCTCAAATTCCGAATAACTACTGGTCTTTGATGCGTTTGTAGCTGACGTAGGCCTGCCAAAATCCGATGGTTTTGGTAAAAAACTTTTAAAAAATTACGGCGAGCCATGAAAAAGGGAGAAAAGTTGTATTGTATCCTATGAGGTTTGCTCTTTCTAATCTTTACTTGAACTCCTTCTGAGGGTTGATATGAAAGTTTTAAAAAATTGTGAAACTTGACCATCTCAAAAAATATGGGTCGCAGATTTTGGCAATTTTGCGAAAGCTCATTTAGTGCGCTGCAACGCTTTCATTACTTTTAGGAAGACGATGAAATGCTACTTCGAATGCTACCAAGATCTCTTAGAAATCTTTGTTCCATCACATGTGGCGTCCGTTTGAAAAAAGCGAAATTACTTTCGGAATGACCTAATATTAGGTCGTTCCGAAAGTAATGTCGCTTTTTTCAAATAAACGCCACGTTTTATGGAATCAAGATTTTCAAGAGATCTTAGGAGCATTCGATGCAGCATTTCATTCTCTTTCTAATGGTTGCAATATCATTGCATAATATTCAATGAACTCTCAAAAAATTACCAAAACCTTCGAGTCGTGCATTTTGTCATAGTCAAATTTGGCTATTTTTCTATATTTTTGTACTGATTGCCCAAAAACGTGCAAATAACAGGTAGGTAGAGAAAATTCTATAGGACACAGAATAATGTTTTCTTTTCTTTAGCTTGCTACTTAGAGTTTTTGGAACCAATTTTTCAATCCCATCAAATTCCATAATTGGTCAACTCAAAACTCACAGAACAACAACAGGCAAGCAACTCAGGTGTCATTCGACGCAGCTTTTTCTCCTCTTTCTACCAATGGTTTTGTGTTTCCGATTAAACAAGTATTCCAGGATAAAATCATCACATTTCAGGCTTTCCAGGGCGCCCCAGGCGTACCCGGAATTTTGGAAAGTTCCTAATCTGAAGCGATGAAAGATCAGTTGGTTTGTAAAATTAGTGTCAAACCATAATCCATCTTCGCAGGTGTTAAAATTCGAAGATTATTGGTGTTTTTTGCATTTGTGTCTGAGACGAGCCCACTAAAATTCGATGGTTCCATCAAAGAATCTATACAATAATTATGATAAGCTCTGGAAGGTAAAAAAAACTGTGCTCTTTCTTATAGGGTTTTGGTCTATCCGTAGATTACTTGGACTCCTTCTGAGGGTTGTTATAAAAATCTAGAAAAATTTTGAAACTTGGCCTTCTCAAAAAGCATGGGTCGCAGATTTTGGTAATTTTTCGAGAGCTTATTGAATTTTGTGCAGTGATTATTTTACAACCATTAGAAAGAGAATGAAATGCTGCATCAAACGCTACCAGAACCTCTTGCATATCTAAGTTCCACGAGATGTGACGTACGTTTGAAAAATGCGACATTACTTTCGGAACGACCTAATACATATTAGGTGGGTCCGAAAGTTCGTGCAGTTTTTCAGATCTCCTCAAATCATTCGGAATAAAGACAGACAAACATTTAAAAAGTGCTTTATGCAGAATTTCTTTCTCTTTCCAACGGCTATGTTTCGTTGTGAATGTTTCAGCGAGCGCTGAGATAATTGCCGAAAACTAGAACCCTTCATTTTACCATGCTAACTTTCGCTAATTTTTAGAATTCTCATTTAGGCTTTTGAATGTGCAATTACCATCTGATAGGGACATCAGACGTTGAACAGTTTAGGTACCATTCGATGCACCTTTTTCTCCTTTTTTGATAACTATCTCTTTCTCGCGAAACATGCGACTTTTGCAAACAAAGTCGCTGTAATTCCCAATCTTACGGGTGCGCAAGGGTGTAGTCGGAATTCCAAAAACTGTCCATGTTTACGCCGTAATCGCTCATTTACGTACTACTAGTGATAGCAATAACCGAGTTTTATAACTTCAATATTTGAGGATTTCGCGGTGTTTAG